AAGACTGGGACATGTGGTCACTAGACCAAGCAAGTGTTTCCAGGTAATTACGACCCACAAGGCATTACCTAGTGCGCACATGCATAAGTTATTCCGTGCAATTACGACCCACAAGGTACTACCTAGTGCGCACTTATGACTTAAAAGACTCTTGTCTTCGTACTAGAGCCAAACCCTAGCCATCACGTGAAATATGTCCTTACAAGCTTTCCAAAATCAATAAGTCTAAAACTTATACAAAAATCAATAAGTTAGACCAAACTTATACCAAATCTACTAATGCATAAAACCATCTTCCATGCACAAATAAGGTTGAATCCACACAAACCATGTCCTAGAATTCAAGTTTAGATAACATATGACAATTCAAGCCTCCAATATGCAATTTATACATCAAAACAAGAATATTTTACAACAATTGAACCACATTACCACACTAAGCCACAAGTACTAAATAAGTCCCAATTTAGTAACTAGCTTCCAAGGTAAATAATTGTAATATTCTAACAAGCTATACACGTACACAAGATATATCTAAACAAGCTATGCAAGTCAATGATATCCTATATCATGCTAAGTCCAATTACTATTTCAAGATGCATCAAGTACTAATTCTACATCAAATTAGTAACATGATCACAAAGTGATTAAAAAGACTACATTTCAAGGGATTATCAACCTATTACCTCCAATATCAATTTAAGTGACCAACACACTTAAAATAAAATTAATTAAGCTCATTAATTAATTTTTTCTCTAGATTTTCAAACATATCCAAATGTCCTGAATTTAATATATGTTAAAGAACTCACCAAGGCCAACTTTAATATCCCACTACAAGTTGATTTCATGCTTGTTTCAATTATGTAATTTAATCTTTCACAAAAGATAAATATTAAAAAAAAATTACAATTCTTATTCAAATGCTCCAAATTTAATATATGTTACACAACTCACCAAGGCCTAATTTACTAGCATGCCATAATTTAATTCTAAACTATATATCATCATTAGAATTAAATCCTAAACAAAGAAAATAAATAAATTAAATTCTAAAAACTTGAACAAGGCATGCTCACAAGTTGTATATGCTTATAAAACAATCAATACAATAATAATATAAACCTAAGACATCCCCTACCTCAATTTGAGATGAAAATCTCAAAAGCCCACCGAAAAAAAAGTGTTCCAAATTCGACGATACCGAAGGGTTTTGTCGGGGACAACACGATCTACATGAACCCACAAGAAGCTCCATCAAAATTACAACTTGACTTCAAACCCGAACTCAAAATTTGGCCAAAACGGGTTCTAATAAAGGGGAAAGATGCGCGTGGTCAAGACAGACACAAAATGCGAAGGCACTTCGACTTTTTAACAAAGGGAAGAAGTTCATGCATGGAGAGGGGAGAAGATGACTCTTTAATTTTAAGTCCCCCTATTTATAGAAAATATCAAAAAGTGTCCCGAACGGGTCCCGCCGGGTCCGGAAAAGTAAAATTTGAGCAGACGTGCTCAAACGACAAAACTCTGTGAACGAAAAAGATTTAAAATGAGAAAATATGAACAACGGAAGAAGCGACATCAAAAATTGAGTTCCGAGCAGAGAGATATGCCCCGAACAAGTTCGGCGGCAACCAAGGTTAGAAATTTTGAAACTGGAAAAAAATGACCAGAAGGAAATTCCATTAGTACACGACTCGACGAAAAGTGAAAATGAATCTTGTACGAGGATCCAGGATCAAAATAAGGCAATTTTGCAATACCTTTCTTAATTGCACAATGACCCATCCAAAAAGTAAAAACTGCACTAATGACCCAGAATGAAAATATCTCCCAAAAATATTTTCTTAAAAACCCCTAAAATAAAATATCTTCAAAAGATATTTACGAAAAACACCCCAAGAAAAGAAAATAATTTCAAAGAACTTTGCATCCATACCCCTATGGACACTAAGAGCAATTAGAGTACTTTTTTGCAAAAGTAAAGATACGTATTTCGTGGAAACCACTTAGAATGAAGATACGTGAAGTCAAAAATCAACTCTGAACACAAAAAGTGAGGTTACGCCAACAAAGTGACAAACGGGGAAAAGACAAAATAGGGAAAAGGACAAAATAGGGAAAGGACGAAAAGTGAATAGTGTCGAAAAACGAAAAATGTGTAAATGACTCGGTCCTCAAAGGAAGTTGTCAATCCAAAGGAAAGAGTCTCAGAAACCATTTTTGAGCACTCGAGACGACACTAAGCGATGAGAAACTGAACTCAGAAAAGAAATTTCAACGAAAAAAATTTATCCATGAAATTATGAGGAAAAAGAAAAGGAAGGAAATGACCGGGTCATTACAGTTGTTCTTCTAATAGAGAAGCCAGTTAGATCGACCCAAATGACATTACATAATAACCTGATCCCGGCCGATCACGATCATGCCTTGCTAGTAGAATTGGAAAACTTCAATGGTGAGGTTTATCATGGGTTTATAAATGGCCGATACTTTGAAGGGTATCGGCCAGCTTTGTAGGAATAATGGAAGAACCATAATTTGCGAGTTATGGCTGACGCGAAATAAAGACCAACTTAGTGGTGGTCCGGAAGAAATAAATTTTTGGAACATGTTGGTTTGCCACCATCTTATTCTATGTGATTAGTTCAATCGTGGTCTGAAGATTTTCCTTTCATTATACTTTAAAATTCAAAAAAATCTTATAGGCTTGCGTGGCTGATAAGACATTTGAAATTTGAGGGCATTTGTTGGCACCAAAACTTGGCAACCATCTGAGTAATACATGAACTAATCAAATTGTGACAAGTGGCCTTGACATGGCGCCAAAGGATGGGCCACTTGGGAAGTAACTTAGGATTATTATGAGATGGAACATGGTTGCCAAGTTTATAAAAGGTAGTTACTGAAATTTAGCAACTAAAGTTGACTAAATCAAAGAAACTTGCCAACGTACGTAGAAGGAAGGATCAGAAGATGGTTTTACTAACTACAACTGAAGTCTTAAATAAAAGGAGAGATATTTGGAGGAAGTTGCATGTGCCACGCAAGTTGCTTACCAAATGTCTAATCTAATTCAAATAAGTCAAAAGAAAATAAAGGAAGGAGATTTTATAGCATAAAAGAGGACAATTTAGTCAAGGCAAATTTTTGTTTGGTTGTGATATTTTTTTTTAACAATTCTCTAAATTGATTGACGGTGAATAGTATTGAATGATGTAGATAAGCGGTTGTATTGTTTGGCTTTGATTGTGTGTTTGGGGGGTGGTGGTGGAAATTTTTTTTTTTAATTTGGTCAACTATTTTTGAAATTCAAATTGAAGATTTCAAATCTTTTTATTTTTCTTATTTGGGAGAGAAGAAAGAGGGGCGGAATGTTTCTAGGGTTTGATGAGATCCTTTAGATGCAAGAATGGACGGTTAAGATTAAGCTATAAATTTTTTTTTAAGGATCAATTGTGGTGAATATGTGTAATATAGGTAGGAGAGAGAGATTAAGCTACCCAATCCCAACATTTTCTTTAATTTTTTTTTTTATTGTACTTATGTTATCTTATTATATTTTTATAAGATTTCAATGATAAGTAATACACTGCATTTTCAATACTAAAAAATATCAATAATAAATACAAATATGGGAAAAGAGGAGAAAAAAAAAAGGGTTGATCCAGTATACCCGCCCGACTCATGAATATTCAGATTGGGTCTCACGGGTTAAAGCCCAAACTTGGATTAATCGGGTTTGCCCAACCCAACCCGAAGTTGGGTTGAGGTTGGGCTGGGCTGGGTATTACCAAGAAGTGGTTTCATTTTGTTCATAAATGACTTCAAACTAAACATAATGACCAAAGGAACGCTAACAAACTAACTTAATGGTAAAGATTCTTAGGAGTTTGAATTTTCTCACTGTCATTCCGTGAAAAGTTTCTTGATAGTTGGAAATTACAAGTGCCGAGTGATGAATTATGAAAAGTTTTATGAGATCCAACACAACAATTGTCGAAATAAATAAATATAATAAAAAGTATAAAGTGAAAAAAAAAATAACATCCGGCTGTATAAATAATTGTACAAAAAAACACTCATATTATTTAATATGTGCATATCCCTAATGTTTGAAAAAATGTGTAAATTGTTCGGTAATATAAGTTAAATTGTGAGCTTATTTTCTTATATTGTATCGAATCGAACACAATCTCTTATTTAAGGATGTTTCATCTATCCTTCTTCTCTCTTTGTCATCTAATTTTTTTCTTTCCCACCGAACGAAACATTAATGAATCAAAAGCAAAATAATCAAACAATATTTTCTAAGCAATACAACCAGGCTAGAAGTAACTATGGAACTCACTTAAATACAAATGTGAAAAGATATTAGATGAGTCAGAAGTACTAGGTCATTGGTACGACGACTCAATAAAAATAAGAGTAATTTTTATAAATAGATACAACCAATTTAATTAAATGATGCATTTTCATAAATTCAGACTGACTCAGAATAATCTACTCCCATATATATTGATTGTAAATTGTTTCTTTTACCATAAAGTTTTGCATTTTGTGATCGATGAATTTGAGAACTCAATCAATCTGGAATATTTCCTTCAACTTTTAGAGATTCATGGTGACCATAATGAGCATATTAAATCTATAATGCTGAAGAATGTTCCTAAAGATATCAAATTAACATCACATGAGTTTCAAAAAGACATTGATAGGTAAGAAAAAAACATTTCAATTCAGTTGGCACTTGGCAGATGTCTTATTAGCTACCTAACGTTATTTGACTATTTGTTTAGTAAGAAAAATACATGTCAATTATGTTCCAATATTTCAATAATAAAAGAGTGAAAGAACAGGGACCACAGACCTATATTATGTGAGGGCGAAGTAATATTAAAAATTATCAATAATTTTAGGGGGCAATGGTAATTTTATAGGGTATATAATTAAAGAAAATAAATTATTAAGGATATATTATAGAGAGAAAAAAAATTCAGTGGCCTTTATAGGTCCGTGCAAAGAGCTGACATTATCTATTAATTGTTGACTGGAAACTGATGAAAATGGCCATGAAGAAATTAGAAGGTAAAGTAGCCATAATCACCGGTGGCGCGAGCGGCATCGGCGAGGAAACGGCTCGTGTTTTTGCCGATCATGGCGCACGTGCGGTTGTGATCGCCGACATCCAAGACGAGCAAGGCCACCGTGTGGCCGAGTCCATCGGCCCAAACTGCAGCTACGTCCACTGTGACGTCGCCGACGAAGACCAAGTCAAAGACATGGTGGAGTCGACCGTCCAGATTCACGGCCAGCTCGACATCATGTTCAGCAACGCAGGGATCGGCAGTGACTCCGATCAGACCCTTCTCGATCTCGACTTCTCGGAATTTGACCGCATCTTTGCGGTCAACGTGCGCGGCATGGCCGCATGCGTGAAGCAGGCTGCGCGTGTAATGGTGGAGCGGCGCGTGAGGGGCTGCATCGTGTGCACGGCGAGCGTGTCCGGTAGTAAAGGCGGGAAGAAATGGACAGACTACTGCATGTCGAAGCATGCGGTGATTGGGCTGGTCCGGTCAGCGAGCCGGCAGCTCGGGGAGCACGGCATAAGGGTGAACAGTGTGTCTCCGTTCTTCGTGGCGACGCCGATGAATTGCAAGAAGCTTGAGAAGGAGGTTGAAGAGGCGGAGAAGATTTTTGAGCCTTTTATGAACTTGAAAGGGATTCTGCTGAAAGTGAAACATGTTGCTGATGCTGTGCTGTTCCTTGCTTCCGATGACTCCGCATTCATCTCCGGGCACGACCTGGTCGTCGACGGCGGGTTGTTGTCGGCGGCTTCTTGGTCTTAGAATCTTGATGACCACCTTTCATATTCAAGTGGGACTTAAGACTAATATAAAATAATTAATCTGTTCCTAAATGTGTTTGGTTAAATAAATGAAATGAGTGACAATTTTAAAGTTGATGTTAGTATTTTTTAGTTTAAGCTGCGGATAATAATTTGTCATAACGTGTTACTCTTGTTTTTATGTAGATTAAAGTTATCACTTTCCTTATAGTTTATAGATTAGTATTTGAGAACATACTATGTTTTTTTTTGCTCGGTTTAGCGCAACATTAAGGTTCCTTTTAGAAAAATGTTTTTTTTTTTTTTTTTTTTTTTTTTTTTTTGTCGATATTTAGCAAATTTTTACGTCAAAGTTAAGATCAAGTTAATCAGAGGGGGCATATAAAATAATTTGTCGAAAATTGATAGATAAATTATTTTCGTTAAATTTTAAATTTTTTTTTTTTCATAAACATTTTACAACAATTAAATACCAAAAAATAAAAAAAATATTTTTTAAAAAATATTTTACTTCCAAACAAAGAGCTTAACTGATTTTATTTTTTATTTTTTATTTTTTATTAAAATAACTATTTTGTCCTTGTAAACCTATTTCAAATGAAGTAGATGACAATAAATAAACAAATAAGTTAGGCTTAGGCTCTCCCTTAATCATAAACAGAAACATTTGGCCTTGGATCAAAATTTTTAATAAATGACTTCTCCCCTTTAACAATATGACAATTGTTTCTGGCCTTGGATTATGTTTATATATATATATATATATATATATATATATATACATGTGTGTGTGTGTGACAATCCTACCATTAAATACAAAATACATATGTTGTAGTACATATATATGGAGTATATTTATATAACATAGTACATATATATAAACACACACATACACACATTTGGTAACCACATTCATAATCCAAAATTAGGGGTGGCAAAAGGGGTCAGAAATCATCAACCCGCCTATATCCTCCTCCTTTTTAATAGTTTTGGTTGAATCATATTTAAGATGGGTAAAAAATGGGTTGGGTAATTTTAAACCACTTAATTTGAGGGTCAAAAATGGATTGAATATGGTTACCCATATTCAACTTATATTTCACCCGGCACATACTAGACACACAACACATCTCTATGCTATATTGCACTCAACTGATTTCTCTTTCTAAAATTCACTAACTCCCGATTAGGGTTACAAGTTGGGTTGACCTAACCCAGCCCAATCCCAACCCGAAATTGGGTTGGGTTGGCCAGCCCGAATATTTTGGGTTGGTTTCATGGGTCCAAATTTTTTTTTTTTTTTTTTTCCCCAAATATGCAAATTACATTTTCCTTTTCCATATTTATACATATCAAAATTTCTAAGAAAATTTTATTTTTAAAACATCAATATTTTGGACTGGTCGGTCGGGTTTCATGGGTCAATTTTTTTTTTTTTTTCTTTTGCAAATATACAAATTACATTTTTCTTTTCCAAGTTTGTAAACATCAAAATTTTTAAGAAAATTTATATTTTTTAAACATCAATATTTTGGGTAGGTCGGTCAAGTTTCACGGGTCAATTTTTTTTTTTTTTTTTTTTCAATTATGTAAATTACATTTTTCCTTTTCCATGTTTGTAAACATCAAAATTTTTCAGAAAATTTTATTTTTAAAACATCAATATTTTGGGCGGGTCGGTCGGGTTTCACGGGTCATTTTTTTTATTTTTTTTTTATAAATTTTTTTACAAATTACATTTTCCTTTTCCAAGTTTGTAAATATCAAAATTTTTATTTTTTAAACATCAATATTTTAGGCGGGTCGGTCGGGTTTCACGAGTCAAATTTTTTTTTTTTTCCAAAATATGCAAATTACATTTTCCTTTTCCATATTTGTAAACAGCAAAGTTTTTAAGAAAATTTTATTTTTAAAACATCAATATTTTGGGCGGGTCGGTCGAGTTTCACGGGTCAAATATATATATATATATATATATATATATATATATATATATATATATATGCATATATTTTTCAAATATGCAAATTACATTTTCCTTTTCTATGTTTTTAAACATCAAAGTTTTTAAGAAAATTTTATTTTTAAAACATCAATATTTCTTCTCTTTCCTTCACTTCTCTCTCTCTAAAACGAGTTGATAAATATTACTAAGTTTGAGATTGTTTTTTTTATTTGTTATTAAATAAAATTTTAAAACCTTCCAGAAAAAAATAATTAAAATAATAATAATAATAATTAATTGGTCCATGGGTCATAACGGGTTGACCTTATACATTTTTTACCCGTCTATTTTCAATCCGTTCTAAATGGGTTAAATATAGGTCTTGACCCATGTTTGACCCGCCCATTTTTAACCTAACCCAAACCCGGACCAACTCGCCCATTTGCTACCCCTATCCAAAACGTTCGTTTGTTCGTTGCCAGGAGTAGAGTTAACAATTAATAAACTCGTTGAGCGTGACACAACTATCACCACGCAATTGCAGCAAAACCAGTGAGCCCAACCTCAAACTCCCTGACCCTTGGCGCTGGCGAGAAGCTTTAACCATCAACAAACAGTGCAACTGGTGAGAGCCCAACCTCAAACTCCATGACCGCCGACACCAAGGAGAAGCTTTAAGAATCAATGAGCAACGAAACTGGTGAGAGCCTAACCTCAAACTCCATGACCGCCAGCACCGCGCGAGAAGCTCTAAGCATCAACGAGCAGCAAAATTAGCGAGAGCCTACCTCAAACTCCATAATCGCGGGCAAAAAAGTCTAAGCATCAACGAACAGTGAAACCGGTGAGAGCTAACCTCAAACTCTATGATCGCTTGCGAGAAGCTCTAAGCATCAATGATAATCGCAGCGATTAAAGCGAAACCAGCGAGAGCTAACCTCAAACTCCATGATCGCTGGTGAGAAACTCTAAGCATCAACGAGCAGTGAAACCACTGAGAGCCAACCTCAAACTCCATGATTGCCGGTGAGAAGCTCTAAGCATCAACAACAATCGTAGTGATCAAACTAGTGAGTCTCATTCCGGTGAACCACAAACAAGACAAGCGACAAACCTTTCTGGTGAGCATCATACAAACCCACCTAACTAAATCGTGAGCATCTTATGGAGATCCAAATCGAGAACTTCATTGATCTGGTCGGCGAAATTGGCTACCAGAGGTTGCGATTGGTTGGTGTCGGTTGTAGTGTCGGTCCATCACTACTTCCTGTAATTGAACGTAACTAGCCTTTTAATCAATTAAAAGACATCTATTTCAGGTCATAATTTCCATAATTAAAAGATAATACACAATTATAAAATTTATGACCATAAACACGTATACTATCAATTTATATATGTAATACAATAATTTGTATGGTAAAAATAATTTGTTTCTATCCCTTTCTTTTTAAAGAATAAATAAATTTTTATATTTAAACAGAAATTGATTTATTTTATTATTATATTAGTTTTGGGCTCACGTGTATGCATGATACTTAAACCCAGTTCAAACAACCAAATTTTTAACTCATGGATGCAATCAAATGTCAAAATTTTAAATCAGCGCAATTCAAACAACCAAATTATGATAGTGGTTGGAGTACTTTAATTTATAATTTTGCATCTCAAAATGTAAGACAGTCATATTTACTTTTATATGAAGTTGAATTTTGATTTTTGTAATTAAGTTGTGCTGAATATTTTTAAATTTTTTTAATGTAAATTGGATTGTGCTATTTATAAAGCACCAAGATCGATTTTTAGTTTGTGTGTTTTCAACCTTAATATATTTTATGTGCTTAACGTCTGATTTTAATGTAAATTTCGCACTCATATAAATTTTTGCTTATGTGAAACCTTATGCATAAAGGGCCTTGCATTTGAAAATTCGCTTAGGGCCTCTCAAATTTTTGAAAATCTCAGGGCCGGCCCTGGTTAGCTGTGGGAGAATGATAGCATAAGAAAGAACCGTATGGGTAAGGTTGTGTTTGGCTGTAGTTGTTAACGAGTTAATATGATAAGGTGATGTGTTGTTTCAATACCATTGGCTATTGACACGTCAGCAATAACAGTACTTAAAACACAAACGACAGTGTTTCACTAAGGGCAACTTTGTAATCTAACATTTTTGGTGTCAGCAATTTTTTATTTTGTTCTTAAATGCACTTTTTTGATTGTGGAGTGGATATTTCTTAATTCAAGGGGGTTTTGTGCAATTGGCTAATAATTTAGGAATTTCTTATGCACTTTACCCATATATATATATATAGTATTCACCTGCTGGGTCTTTTAACGAATGCAATGAGCCTTAATGGTTGAAAGGAGAGATAATAAAAGAACATATTACACTATACTAAGTAGTCATGGCCACCAAGGCTTTTGTGGCCTGACCTAGTGATATATTCTCTACCTCAAAAAGTGGATGGTGATAGTTTGACTCTCTAAAGAAGTAAAGTGGGTGTATGGTGGTATGTGTAAGTTTCTTGCCAATGACAAAAAAACATAAAATTAAAAAAAAAAGGAGGTAAAAAATAAAAAATAATATAGTCATTGCCAATAAAAGTACACAGTTTTAAATAAATCAAAGTACCACAGATAAACTCTACAAACTATATTGAGAACTTGATGTTGGAAATGCGGCATTAAAACATAAACTTTAGATGAGATTTTGATTAGATTCAACTAAGAATTGTTTGCAGATCTATAAACGAGCGCGTTCCTCTTCGCAAGGAGATGAACGTAGTATATTTACTTTCTCAAATTCGTTTTCGGGTGAATGAGAAATTAGTTTCAAAGTAAGGTGTTTGATAAGCCTAAATGGGTTTGCAAAATGTGGGAAGTGTTTGTCCCATATCGGGAAAATATTAAACCTAAAGGCACCCCCCCCCCCTCAAGTTCATTTTAAAGCACTCCAATTCATAATCTTTTTCTCTAATTATGAATTCTCTCAGTTTTCTTCTTCCATAAGTGTCTGTGGGTACGAGCCCTTGTCTTTGGGTTTGAGCCTTAGTCAGTCACTCCTAGTCCAAGTTTAGTCAGTTACTTCGAGTTCGAGTCAGAGAGTACTACATCGAGCCGGTTCACCTATTCCTTTGGTTTATAGTGCTACTACCGAATGAAGTAAA